GGAACTGCATCTTCAGTGTTGGTCTTTTTCAATTCGTTCGCGGTGGCTGCATTTCCGATGGAGACGGAAATGCTGTAGGCCCGTGTGCTCAGATTTGGGTGCACGTTAAAGAACCCCAGGTGGTCTAAATTTCCGGAGCCCTCCACTACGGCGTCTCTCATAATCATATAGTGGTTTCGGGACGTTAAACCCCACATATCAATCAATCAATCGTTCACCTACTTTTACACCTATTTCTCAAACACAACTACTTGCAATTCTCTTAGCATTATGGAAATTGCCTCTTTCTATAACAGATGCAATCATTCTTACAGACTGCCCGTCGGTGTGTACTTCATTAGCTGCACCTTATATGTTCAGTGCTCTACAAGTTTTTCAGGCTCTTGCGCGAACATATTTACGCCTTATTCACTTGGTATGAACACCACACTTTAAGTTAAAAGGGTGTTAAAAGGGTGTGTGGTTCGTCCTTTTGAGGACTAATGGGGCTGCCACAACCAATAATCCCATTAGAAACTAACGACATTGGGTCTAACAGTTAGTCCCCTCAGGGGACTAACGTTTAGTCCTCACATTTACACCTTAGTGGGTAACTGTTAGTCCCACAGTTAACCCCAAAGGACTAACATATAGTCCTCACATTTGCACCTTATCGAGCAACTGTTAATCCCCACATTTACACCTTACCGGGTAACCGTTAGTCCTCACAGTTGCACCTTGCTGGACGAACGGTTGATCCACTCAAATATCCACTCCAGTCGGATGGAGTGGATATCCACTCCAATCGGATGAACTTTTTGTCCCCAGTTCAAACATTACTTTTTGTTTATTTTCTGCCAGGCCTAATACTTCTTTCACCAGTTTTTCTTTGCAGTGAGCAACAAATTTCGCAGAAAAGAACACGCGAAAAAGTAGTTAGCCACCTATGTGTAACTGCTTTCACAGTCATGGCAACAACGAAAGACAAAAGTGACACATCGAAATCTTTTATTTTTCTAGATACAGATGAAGTTTCCCCATTCTTTTAAGTAAATTCATGGTGAAGTGTACAAGTCTAGTCTCGTTGTCAAATTTTGTTCACTCCTTGAGGAGTTCCTCCGACGGAAGCGATAGATGACAAGCATTGCAGACGCCAGCGCACGCAGCCTTCTGCCTGTTGTGTTCCCACGGCTGCACGTAAATTATATAGTAAAAATGGTTAGACACACGTGACAGAAGATGAAGATGCACGCATATGACAAGTACGTGCACGTTAATATAAAAAGAAGCGTTAATATAAAAAGAATATTACACACAAATAACTTTACCTTCACATCTCGCACAGTCCTTATGAAGCTGCTCCGACGAAAGAGATGGATGACGGGCATCGCAGACGCCAGCGCACACAGTCTTCAGCACGCTGTGTGCCCACGGCTGCACAATAAGTATGTAAAATTGTGAGTCACACATGACAGAGGATGAATACAAATGCATATGAGAAATACGTGCAAGGTGAAATGAAAACATACGTGAGATATGACATGCTAATGATTTCACTTTAGTGTCACACATCGTTCGATCCCCGTAGCGCAACAGCTTAGGAGCGGCGGCTGCCGCCCCAACTCCGCGAACCTCCGTACCGCTAAGAAGTCGGCGAGTCCTAACCGAGCGACGTCGTTCAGCTCGAGCAAGCGAACGCGAGACCAAACACGGCGTTGCACGCGGAGTGTCTGCCGCCAGCGAACTTCGAACAGGAAAGTGAGCGTACGCTTCGCCGCCGCCACGAACAGCGCCGGGCTGGTTTGGAGCTAGCGCCGAAGAAAGCAACGGTAATGCGGCCCGCCCTTTTACACAAACTCGAGCGAGTTTGTGGAAGGACGTGAAACAGATTGGTTGAAGGGTACAAAGTTAGTTCCCCCTTTTCGTTGTCAAATTTTGTTCACTCCTTGAGGAGTTCCCTCCGACGGAAAGCGCATAGATGGACAAGCATTGCAGACGCCAGCGCACGCAGCCTTTCTGCCTGTTGTGTTCCCACGGCTGCACGTAAATTATATAGTAAAATGGTTTAGACCACACACCGTGACAGAAGATGAAGATGCACGCATATGACAAGTACGTGCACGTTAATATAAAAAGAAGCGTTAATATAAAAAGAATATTACACACAAATAACTTTACCTTCACATCTCGCACAGTCCTTATGAAGCTGCTCCGACGAAAGAGATGGATGACGGGCATCGCAGACGCCAGCGCACACAGTCTTCAGCACGCTGTGTGCCCACGGCTGCACAATAAGTATGTAAAATTGTGAGTCACACATGACAGAGGATGAATACAAATGCATATGAGAAATACGTGCAAGGTGAAATGAAAACATACGTGAGATATGACATGCTAATGATTTCACTTTAGTGTCACACATCGTTCGATCCCCGTAGCGCAACAGCTTAGGAGCGGCGGCTGCCGCCCCAACTCCGCGAACCTCCGTACCGCTAAGAAGTCGGCGAGTCCTAACCGAGCGACGTCGTTCAGCTCGAGCAAGCGAACGCGAGACCAAACACGGCGTTGCACGCGGAGTGTCTGCCGCCAGCGAACTTCGAACAGGAAAGTGAGCGTACGCTTCGCCGCCGCCACGAACAGCGCCGGGCTGGTTTGGAGCTAGCGCCGAAGAAAGCAACGGTAATGCGGCCCGCCCTTTTACACAAACTCGAGCGAGTTTGTGGAAGGACGTGAAACAGATGACGACCGTTTGCTCACCGCACTTCGCAAGGGACGATTTCTTCTTTCCAGGTGAGGCACCAGTGTTAACTTCTTGACTCAAACCTATTAAATGACTATTCTATCTAGTGACTGCATAACGCTGCGGCGCCCGATGTATGAAAACAAATTTCGCAGAGATGCGGTGCGCCATGTTCATTACACTTGAGATTGAGCTCTGCTTCATTTTCTGCGTATGCTCACCGGAATAAAGGGACTTGATTCATTGGGCACACTTGCGAATATTATTTACTGCGTGTATTGAGCCGATATTCAGCGGTTTCTGCGACGTTTGTCTTTACACGTGACGGTCACCCTGGAGGCATATAACGTTTTGGTCCAGCACATCGATCGCGCAACTTAAACGGGTATCGGCAGTTCTATCGTTTAGTAGTATTGTGTCAGCCAGTTCGGGAAGCGATCGCTGTAAACTTGGCACTCTTTGGAAGCGTGGCCAATGGCTTGCGTGGCACGGACGAAATTGCAGTGCACGCAGGCGCTTCCCAGCGCACAAGTAAAGAATTGTTTTCGTATTACGCGCGAATGTGTTGCATATGATGCTGGTATTTCACTCAGACAGTTTCATTGCAGTAATCGGCGACAAACGCGCCAGCCTCGCGTGAATTTTACTCGCCCTTACAAGTCTTGAAGAAACCAACAGCATCCACCTTTCGCTGGTGTGTACTATGTCACGAGTGCAGTTTTAGTACCTAATGTAGCATTATCTATATTTCGATCATTCTCATTCAAAACTTGATTGTGTTACAACCATCATTCAACTACGTGTTGCAGATGCTACATTTAGTGTGCAATGTTCTATGACAATGAGCCCCCCTCCCTCTTTTCTTCTTTTTTTAGGCAATGTGGCCTTGTTTCTGGTGTAAAAAACTAAATTCAGGTCACACTGACTCCTGAAGTTTAAACAATTTATTTTCTGCAAGCCTGCGAAGACGACTTAAGAAAAATGCCGTACCAAGCGTAAACCTGCCGAAAACATCATGCTATGATAAAAATAAAGATTCTCAATTAAGAGAGATGTCACAGGCAAGATTTCATCTACGTGCTGCACGGTCAGCCAGAGAGAGTTAAATGCACTGCATAACACAAAGCCTATCCGCTTTGGGTATAGAATCATCTAATCTTAGGTAAAGACCTCCTCACAGAATCTGATGTTTGATACATTACTCCTAAAGTTATTATTGTGCCTATGCACAGCATTAGACGTGACGTATTCACCTTAGATGTGGTCTCTCTGTACATAAGCCACATAATGATGTCAACACTTAATGCATTTCAGAATGGACTAAGCAAACAAACTGCTGAAACGATAGGTGAAAAAAAGACACTGCCTGCTGAAAACAAAACTGAAAAAAAGACAAAGCCTGAAGTGCCAAGTCCTGCCAGCATCACTATGGTAAATTGGCTGCCTGAAACTTCTTTATACTTCAATCCACTGTTCTTTTTTCAACTAAACCCGATATTAGATTACAGGATTTTCTCCCATCCCTTAATAATGACTTCAACCAAAGCCTTGCACACTCCATAGCCGACGAGGACTTAGAAAATATGGTAACATCTCTTTGTATATTTGTTGTGGTAACTTGCTTTATAAGCTTCCATCATGCAGTCTGGATTCACTGAACAAAAAACTTTGTACCATGAAATGCATGGGATAAGTGTATTTTAACTTACACAAAAACTCTGGACTTACTATTTTTAACTTTTGTTTAACATGCTGACATGCATTATTGGAAAAAAGCATTGAGAAAAAAAGAGACTGAGTCATGTCAATGTTATCAGTTATTTCAGAAATACTAACTATTGATTTTGTTTTGTGACAGGAATGTGCTTGCCAACCTGGCCCTAGAACACAAATAGCTGAATTCTCTGCAGAGAAAAAAGATGTGGCTTATTTTTTTCTAGAGATGGCTTCGGGGGTTTGGACTTCTGAACACAAAGCTGTGCAAGTGACGTCTGGTTCCTTTCCACATAAGTTTGTGGACACCATAAACAGTGAAAACATCTACACTTTATGTTGCCTGCCATCAGTAGAAGTTCTTGATGGCCTAGTAAGGTGCTACGAAAAGATGCATCCGCTCTCGGGACGGGACCAGTTGTCTGGCAAGGAAAGAATTGCTTTAACTCTAGCCAATCTGAAGCACCATAGTTCAACAGCGTTTCTCAGCCATCTCTTCAGCTGTACACTAACCTCCAGCAGTATAATTGCAGAAACAGTGCAGATCTTGTCTGTGATATTGAAATTAATGGTGGCTGTACTAACAAAAGATGTTGAGCATTTGCCAAAATGTTTCAAACAGTTCAGCAATGTGCATGTCATTGTGGACTGTTCAGAAATTGCAGTAGGCCAGCCTAACTGCCTGCGATGTGCACTCCAGTGTCATTCCTTCAACAAGAAGGGTTTCACTGTTAAGTACATGATGACTGCAACTCCAAGTAGTCTCATTGCCCACATAAGTGAGGGATATGGGGGCCGAACATCTGACAAGGCTATATTTGAACAAAGCTGTCTGATTAATGAACTTGACCCGGTATCAGATGCCGTAATGGCAGACCGTGGCTTCCTGATTGATGACATCTATGGTGACAATTTAATTGAATTAATCAGGCCACCATTCAAAAGACAGCAAAAGCAGATGTCTAGCGGTGACGCCCTTCGAACCCAAAAGATAGCGTCGGCAAGGGTCCACGTTGAGCATGCAATACAGCCCATGAAAATATTTAAAGTCTTGTTGACAAGGATTCTCTGGAGCATGGTGGGACTACTTGATGACATTGCGGTAGTGGCGGCCGGAATCACAAACTTGTCATTGCCTATTTTAGCAGAACATCGTTTTTTGTGAACATAGCAGCTTCTTTTGGGTATTTCACTTCAGGCAAATAATTATTTCTGGTGTTTTAAGTGCCAAAACAAAGATATAATTTTGAAGCACCTTTTGGCGGAGGATTTCAACATAAATAGATCACATGAGGTTCTGTAATATGCACCTAAACCTATAAGCACTTGGGTGTTACTTTGGCCCATGAAGCCCTAAAGAGGTTAGTGCCATCGGACTCAGTATGAGCTGCATTGTGGCTCTGTTTCAATGGCTGTAGATTTTAAACCTTGCCTTTTGTTTTTTCACAAAATAAACCATGAAAAATTGTATTGCTCTGACCATTTCTTATTCTCTTTCTGAATGTACCTCCACTCATTCTATCTAGCCGAACAGAACACGAGCTCTAACATGGTGCAGTGGCAAATCTGCATATATTGAATATCTAAAAAGATTTCAAACAAATGCAAAGCACCCTGAATAGGTGGTTTCATTCAACAATAAAATAATGCAACTTGTCTTGTTCTCTTGTGTCCTTATATACATACATAACCTCCCGTCATGATCAATCCTTGTTAACAAGTTTAAGCTTCTTCTGTTCCCAGTTCTTATTCTGCATCATGATTCACTAAATACAATGAATGGTTTGTCTAGGAGGCATAAAAAAATGAAGCGCCAACATGCTCAAGGGCCCTGAAACGCTTTTTTAACTAATCACAATGCCTTGTGAATCCCCAGCTGCAAAAACTAAAGGCAGTTACTGCAACAATAGTTTTTTTTTCCTTTGGTCTCGACTAATGTGCTGAAAGCTACGGTTCTAATAAGGGTAGCATGGCCCTGCTCAGAAGCTGTGCTTTTTTATCCTGACAGTGCCACTCCCAATTAATGCACATGTAGCACTTTTGTTGCTATGTAAGTTCCTGGAGCTGCATCCCTATCAGAGACCCATCAACAGACACACAGCTGAGATCACTTGACATTTCCATTTCTGGCATTCACACTATATATGTTACAGAGCACGGTAATATGGAGGCCCCTTCAACAAGGGTATCTTCAAACAAAAATTATGAAAACCTATATCTCATACATGCAGAAAAACATAAGGTGTGTATTGCATCTGCCAAAACGGGTAAGCTCAATCACCACAGTGCAACAAGCTAAGATATAGTTTGGCACACAGTAACGTTCAGTTCACCTGCTCGACATAATGCATGCACATGAACACTTCATACAATGTTTGCAATATGAATAGCACTTAAACACAATGTAAATATAAAATGTAAAAGGGACTAACAAGCACCTCAAATTAGCCATAATAAGGTTAAAACCAATGCTTACATTGAAAGTTGTGACCTTCATTTAAGTGTCACAGTGCCACAGAGTGAACATACTGCAACAGGATGAATAGCATTTTTGGCATATAAAAATACTTTGAAATTGTTTTTGAAATTTCGCCAGTGTTTAGGCTACAGCATCATAATCATTCATACCACAACTCAACTAGTGAAATTCATGGCATTTGAGAAAAGAAACCTCATGTTAAACAGTGTTGCATAGTGTCAAACAACGATTATTTATATTGTGACACAGACAGCGCTCCCTACCTACTGGAGGTTCAGTGAAGTGAGCTGTACGTATGCAATAACATCAGTTGCCTGTGCTACTAAGGAGGAACAATGCTATGTGTATAAAAGAATTCAAACAATTGAAAACTCGTTTGCCTAAGCTGCTGTGATCTATAGTGCTTAACATGTGAAATCCCCTAATAAGTAACTTGATTGATGCAGAGAGTTTTAAATCAGTCTGAAATGGTTTCTAAGGACTTGCTTCACCAGCTAAATGCGAATAAACATTGCCAAACGGTTTCAGGGTTCCTTGACAGCCATCTGCAACAAAATTTCAGACAACTAAAAAACCATATTTACCAGTATTTTAGCTGAAGATAGTGCTACCTGCCAAATTTCACTTTCGATATGCAAGTGGTTACCTAAGAAATAAGCTTGCTAAAGATGAAAGTGTTGGCACCAAAACTAGAAAAAGCGACGCCATTACGGCCAACCGGAAGTGACGAAGGTCGCAGCCCACCATACCAACCGATGCACGCAAATTGTCTGCTCAGAGCTCCGAAGTATGCATATCCCTGGGCTGTGCCCCAGTTTCCTTCTTAAATGCCAATAAAACAACGTAGTATGTAAACATGCATCAGATAGGAAACACGGATACATGCTCAGAAATGTTCGTTAAAGCGTTTCTTTGCCCACTTCCCACATATCGACTCGTCCAGCTGTATCAGATAACTTGCTAGTTAAGAATAAATAGTGCTGCTTGTTTATGCTTCAGGTGTTTTCCAATCACCGACAGGCTATGGACAGTAAAACAGCTTTTTTTCAGCATCGATGCTCGGTTTGGCACATTCCCATGCCTACTGAAAGCGTCTTTGCATTTCTGTAATCACTTGTTTGGCTGCACCCAAGACTTGTATTACAATGAACCTATATACATCACCCGGAGTGAGTGAACAACTTTATTCACTTCCTGCAGGTTACCGGGCTGGGTTCCCAACAATGAACCTAATGTATCACAATTTTTCTTAAAATAAGCTTACGAGCATAAATCCTTTAAACCCGAAAACAGTGTGAGGTGACCCATGCACAACTACATTTCAAAAGAACTTTGCTGCCTTGACTAGTCTGCTTTTGGAGCTTTTATTTCTTATGTGTATATGATGCAGCTAGTCTGGCACTTTGTTGGATGCCGTTTTACTGGTTTTAGACCTTTCCATTAGCATTACGCTATACTTAACAGAACGAAACATGCTGCAGCAGGCAATTTTCAGTATACTAAAGCTAACGCTACTTGTTGCTGGCACTTCTCCAAACGCTGGTCGCAGAAATTCCCGCTGTTGGGCAGGCACGGGGTCAGGACTTCACATCGTTTTCAATTTCAATAGTATTTGCAGAGACACAACTCATACATGAAGTCGTCATCTTCGAAGTGTGTCGTGTAAAACATTACGCTTTTTGATAGCTGCCATTCCTTTCCCCTCACTGTGAAAACCCGCTGCTTTTGTAGCTTTACGTTTTTTGGAAAAGCGTGTAAGCCGTTCCCGGCCATTACGTACGTGTTCCAGCTACCTACGGCTAAGTTTTTTGCACAACAAAAGAGCTACCTCTGCTGAATTAGCCGCTTGTAGAGGGGGCTTCACGCACAAAAGGATGGGATGTGGCTGCAGGAGCAGAGAGTTTTGCTGACAAGCGGTGGTGGACTGCAATTAAGGCCATTTGCATTTGTGTCTGATCTGCCCGGGCACACTGCTAGAATTCTGCATCATCTGCTAGCAGGCAATCAAAGCACCGAATGAAATGCTGCCAGAGTCAAATTTTGTTACAGTGTTTTTTGGTATGGCTTAGCTAAAAAAAACTTTATGCCACAACACAAAGGGAAAAAACAACAAAGGCCATATAAATGGTTTCCAGTCCATTTAAAGCATAGGTTCAGCCCCAGCAAGAACCGTTAATTGCTTACCTCATTAGGAGCTTCGAGATAGTTTATTCTTTATACATGCTAATAATTACATCCTTGAACTCTTCAAAGGCACTGCTGTCATAGTGTGCAACAGCACAGCAAAACAAAGTTTCACTACAAAAACAAAAAAATCGACTTCCTTGACGTGACAAACAGCCATTTGAACATTCAATTGTGTACAATACTCTAACTTAGACTCCATGGTATCAAAATTTTTGAATGAATTCTCAAGCTGTGCAGGGCATTTCATTTCCAATATTACTTCCTTGCCCTCACAGCACGTGCATGAAAACACTGCCCAACCACCATTTGATGATTGATTTGTGGGGTTTATTGTCCCAAAACCACTATATGATTATGAGAGACGCCGTAGTGGAGGGCTCCGGAAATTTCGACCACCAGGGGTTCTTTAACGTACACCCAAATCTGAGCACACGGGCCTACAACAATTCCGCCTCCATCGGAAATGCAGCCGCCGCCAACCATCATTTGAGCAACCTAAAATTGGAAATTCATCATGTAAAATGAGCCCCTTCTGGTGGACTTGTAGAGTATGGCCTAAGGCTTCCTGCCACGCCTTATAGGCCATATGGACTGCACTCTCGTTTGTAACACCAGCACACATTGCCGGTGTATTTACTGCCTTGTTTCTCGAAATAAGTGAAAGAAACCGGTCAATGTTGGCCGCACCCTTTGATCTGTAGAGAAGCCACCGAACACTGAAATGGGTCGAACTCTCAAGTGCCTTCTAGTGGCTCTACCCAAAAAGAACGCCACTCGCGCGGAGAGCCCGTGCTTGGCCGTTACTGTCGCCATTGTGTATACTCGCTCTGTGCCGGCTAATAAACGCCATAACAAATTGGTGGAGAACGCTACGATCCCCTTCGATGCCCTTGGAACTACGTTCACGTGCCCTGCAATCTACCATGTCCCACGACGCCTCTCAGCAAACACCTCCTCCCATGCCACCCCTTTGTCCCAGTGTCCCCAGGATCTGCAATCCACCCATCTTCACGGGCGCCGATGGCACTGACGTGTAGGACTTGTTCGCCATTTACGAGCACGTGAGCGTCCCCAACAAATAGGACAAAAACGACAAGCTGACCAACTTGGTGTTCTACCTTACGGGCGTTGCAAGTTTGTGGTACACAAACCATGCGTCCAATTTCGCAACCAGGTCCGATTTCAAGACTGCTATCACCAACGTTTTTGGCCGTCCTGCCGTTCGTAAGCTGCAAGCCGAGCAGCGCTTACGCGAACGCGCTCAGCAGGCCGGTGAATCATTCACCAGTTACAATGAAGATGTCCTGGACCTGTGCAAGAAACCCAACGACAGCATGTCCGAATCAGACAAGATCCGGAACGTCATGAAGGGCATTGACGATGATGCCTTCACGATGCTGCTTGCCAAAAACCCAGGCACAGTAGCTGAGGTCATCACGCTGTGCCAGAGCTACAAGGAGCTCCGCCGGCAGCATTCGATGACCCGTCACTCCACACCA